TTGGGCTGTGGGAGAACCCATACGGACTGCACAGTTGTCCTGCCATTGTCCTTCACCACTATAGGTACTGTCCATGCATTATATCATCTGCAACATGTGCTCCAACTTAAACGACCATATAGGTTGCTCGTCCCTACCTTCGGATACATACCAGCAGCAGGCCTACCTGACCTTTGCTGTCATGGTAACAATAATAAACACATAGTTATGGTTATAGAACAGCCACTGTTTGGTTAGATTCAGGCACCAAAACTACTTGTTTAGGTTTAGGAAAGGATCTTTTTTGGGTTAAAATAAGCACTTCCTCAAGGTTAGAGGACCTTTGTCGTATGGCTCTGACTTATGTCCAAAAAATGTATAGTGTAATGCATATATGATGCAATTTATGACTTTTGTTGCAGGTAGACGTGGCCACAATGGCCAAAGACTTTTAAACTTAAAACATGTCACAGTTCATTTACAACAGCCTCCAGTTTGAGTGATTTTGTGATCAGAAGGGGTTCTCCTCCACATATATGGTGCCTAAATCCAACCAAACAGTGGCTGTTTGTCTATAACTATAACTATAACTATAACTATGTGTTTATTATGCTATATATGTGTGTGTGTGTGTGTGTGTGTGTGTGTGTGTGTGTGTGTGTGTGTGTGTGCACGTGCGTGTGTGCGTGCGTGCGTGCGTGTGTGTATTACCTATATTACTTATATATATTTTTTTTCTTTAACATGTTCATGAGAGCTTGTAAATGTTACCAAGTTCCAAGATGGCACTTATTTCCTGAGCATTACACAAATGACTTCACTCTTTGTTCTTCTGTTCCTTATTTTCTCTCCTCCCCTTCCCGCCTCTCTCATACACTGAATCACTTTGGTATTATCAGTATTTCTAGGAAAGAAGGATAGGGTATAATATGTGGCAGGAGGGAGCTGATACTAATTTTGTCTAAACAATGTGTGTAAATTTCCTGTTAACATAATGGTAATGACAAACTGAAATGCCTGGAATTAGTGACTTGCACTTTGCTTGAAAATGTAATTCAATCTGATCAAGAGAACTGCTCATTCAGTCCAAGAGGACGTGACTGGCTGTTTGTGAAGTAAAAGCACGACAGATTAGGTTTTTGACTGTTGAGATATGACAAGCTCAAATGTCAACCTAATGACAGCAGTTTCTACACTGTGATTTTTTTAGTTTTTTATTTTTTCTAAATATTGAAAGCAAAGGAAGTGACTCCAGCTGAACGTGTCATTGTACTATAAAGCAATGATTCCTGTACTCTCCCAGTGTGCATTTTCCACAGAAATACTTGAAACGTTGCATCCATTTCTCCCTGGAAGTCAGATTTAGTTGGTTTCAAGAGAAGAAAATACAAAGCAATCCTTTTTTTATGCAGGTTAGATGCATGATAAAACCTAAAACAAGATAACGACTTCCATTGATACCCGCTAATGTGTACTGAAGAAAATGTCCTTGTGAAGAGTATACTACATGGGAAGCTATGTGATCTCATAGTGCATGCAAAAGTTCACATTCTGTTTCAAGTGACCAGATGCTGAACTCTTGAAGGGATAACTTGCATCATGTTTTTCAATTCGCTTGAATGTGGATTTAAGGATTTCCTGATTCTTTGGAGTTGCACTTCTTTACAGCTTCCCATTGACAGACGGTGTCTGTTATTACAAGATAAGTCAAGAGATCAGAGAGGGAGAAAATATGAACAGGATTTTTGCTTCATGTGGGTCCTGTCAACTAGTCGGGCAACAGTCCTGCAAATGACAATATTGTTAAATGACTGATACCATTTCTAATTCAGTTTGAATGAGTCTGTAGTCCACTGACAGTGATCGCGCTGTATCTCTTTTCTCCTGTCTGGCTTCCCATCCGCAGGGAGATGGGAGTGTGTAATAGTTATGAGAGTGTGTAATATTGGAGTACATACAGCACTGGGGGCAATCTACTCTGTGCAGACCTCTCAAAAGATTTCAATTTCACAAAAATAGCAGAAAATATAAATACCTCAGATTACATGGCTGAGGCTTAGGTTAGCATAACCAGATATTTCTCATTCTAAAATGCATCAATGTGACTAACATGTATTTCTCCTGTTATATATAAGTTATATTTAGATTTACAAAGAACAGGCAGTAAAGTTTAATATATGGCTGTACTTACTAAAATTGTTATTTTTTTAAGTTATGTTACAGCTTGTGATGCTACAATCCCTGTTTATGTACTTGATTGCTTTTGATTGGAAGGAGCTACAGATGTTCCCCAGCAACCATTTACAAGCTAAGACATTTCTGAAGTTCTAATGGTGCAACCGGATTTGGTTTGACAGTTTCAAACTAGCTTTAAATGAAAATGTTGAATGTGGGAAGCACTTTACACACAAACTTTGTAATACATTTGCAAAGAGTGGATCAACCCAGTCCTGGGTTCTGTGTGGTTTAAGGCTGCATATATACCTTATGTTTCAAAGGATGTGGTGTATAATTGGGGCGCCCCGCAATCTGTATGAGAACAATACACATGTATATAATTTTTTCTCCTTCTTAATTACACAATAGGATAGATGCGTAGGTGGTAGCTGGCAGCCTGGCAGAGCAAGAGGATTTCCTGTCACCACTGCAGTTTGACTGCACACTTTATAAAGTCTGAGGTGTTTTTATTCTGGTCAGTGGTGTGTAGGTGTTTAGATCACAAGAGGAAATACTATAGAATGAAGAGTCATTGCACAGCAGAAAGAAAAAGAATGTGGTTAAGAGACAGAGAGATTGAGAAACAGAGAAAGAGACAGTGAGAGAGAGAGACAAGCTGAGAGAGAATTACTGTAAAGAGCAAATCATGCTTACAGTAACTTTGCTATAAATTCTGTTGATTGAAAGAATGTGTCATTGTCATGGGACAAAAATTATCAAGTTTGAGGTTTCATGTTCATTCAGGCATGCCTCTGGTGCCTGTAGATATACCACATGGTTATCTTAAGAAAAACAGAGGAAGAGATTCAGATTTTAAATCTACAAATGTCTTGTTTGGAAAGCGGTGATCTAGAGTCAATAATCAGACACTTTGACCTCAAATGAGATGTCTGACGTTCCAGTTCTTCCAATGAAGAAAATTAAACTCAAATCTGAAACTGACGCAAAGGTCACAAAGGCAAAACAGGTGATATGACATAACACCTGCAATGTTCCTTCGTGTAATTGCTGACAGCATTGGTTATTCACACCCCACATTCCTTTTAAACTCTGCAGTGTTATATGACAGTAACAAAAACATCTGTATCTGTTGTCACATTGATTTTGCAATGCAGTGCAATGAGGTAGGCAATGCTTTTTTCTGTGTTTTATTGGTGACTGGCTAGTCTCTTCATTTCTAGGGAAAGGGTCTGAAAACCAATCAGGAGGCTGTAGTGCGGGACTTCCTAGAGATTATTACCAAGAAGGGGAAGTGAGGGGTAAGCAAGATGTTGCAAGGGCGAATGCATTGTGTTCCTGTCTACAATACACAATCCCAGACACTGTGTCGCCAAGACTTTTTAGTTATTGTTTTCAAGAGTTTTATTAGAATGTCCACATGAGTGCGTTTCTGACTTTTTTGATGTGTCAAAATAACCAGATAATAAAATTTGTAAAGAATTAGAATCAAAGGTTTTACAATCTGTAATGTTATTTTAAAATCAGTTTAAAAGTCATTAAACAGACACATGCTAATTAGAGTAACGAGCTGGTATAAGAGATATTTCTCTTGGTGAGTGCAGTCAGTGGATTTACAATCCTGGAAGAAATAAAAGCAGATATGACTTTCTTTGCATGTGAGAGGATAAGCCTACTCTTGATAAAGAGTGTCAACTGAAGAAAAACATAATCGCCCTACTTTATATACTTGAGTGTCAAATGACAGGTCTGAAAGTTGATCACACTTAGTTACAGACTTAATGTACCCTGAGGAGTTGTTACATCTGTCAAGGAGGTTATGTTTCCACCCATGTCTGTTGTTTGTCTTCAGGATTGCGCAAAAAGTACTGAACTGATTTGCACCAAACTCAAATTAGACTACATAAATTTTAGGAGAGATCCGGATCATTTACTGTGTATTTAAAAAAAAAAATCTGGAATCTGGTGACTACACTCAGGGACAAAGGATAGACCCTATGAGGTTTCCACAATGGAGTGGGTCAAAAGATCTGGGTGTGGATGGATGGGACAAACCAAACTCAGACTTCAACACAGGATACTGCTGTTCATTTCCAGTTATCCAGTCAACCTTAACAAAGTAGTCATTTGAACTCAAACCACAGTGTTTCCCTAAACTTAAACAGGCAAAGTTAAGTTTTCTCTGCCAAAAAACGTGGTTCCCTGCTGGGAGCGGCAGCTTCGGCCTTTGTTGCATTTACAAGAGGCTGTATAGAGGATCTTTGCTATAATACACCCTCTGAGCAGCACTATGTCTTCAGGGCAGATTGGAAGCTTCAGTGACATCGGAAGTGACAGACAGTGGCTAGCTGGTTAGAAAGCTAACTTCAGTTGAAGAAAAGACGTGATGGAGAGAGTTAACATTGGCGTTACTTTCCACAGCTGGAGACAGTTGTTGGCGAGTGAAGAAATTAAGTTTGATGCTGAACTCACGTTTCTTCTACTCTGCTAAGTAAACAGCTATTAATGCTAACGCTGGCTATGTAGCAATAGCAAAACCTAAAAAATAGCTCCTCTAAGTACTTGATTTAACCAAAACTGTAGTTTTCCTGGGGCTGGGTTTGGTTATTTTCTGCCTCATCATCTCCATGAAGGGATAAGGCAATGCTTATCATATGACTGTTAGAGAGACATTCGTGCACTGCCTGAAATAATGCTTCATGTATCATGGGAATGCAGAAATTATTATTTTTTTCCCCTTACAGTCCCTGTATTGTTCCACTATGAAAATCTTACACAAGCATGAAAACAGACGCGAAACACCAGGCGTATAGAAACAATATTTTTAATATGCTACATTGTGTAAATATAAAAGTATCATCAAAATATTCTCTCACATATAAATTCTTAACATCTCATAACCTGTTTTGAAAAATAAACTACATATCGAAACATACTGGATAAAAGAAAGAGAAACTACAAAATGGTAAAAGACATTACTGACTCAGTAGTCAAATTTTCAAGAACAGTTCCCGCCTTCTCATTTAAGGTAACACCAAAAGCACACAGACCTAGTTGCATTTTCATTCCAGTACTAAGTGACAAAAATATTAACAATGCTGGAAGACTGTGCTCCTGTTTTGCTTGTTTTTTGTTGTCCAGTGCTGAACATGAGGTACCAAGGTCTGAATTAAGATTTGGATGAAGCTCGACTTTACAGACATTCACAGTAAAGCTTTGTACTGTATGTGAGAAATAGCTGAAACACTTGACTCTTGCAAAGAGCTACATAGCAATACACAAAGAATAGAAGCCATGTAAATATTTCATTGTGATAATGTGATCACATCAAATCTATAATATTTTCTTTTGGTGTCATTTGGTTTTTTGAGAAGTTGCTGGATAACCAAAGCATGACTTGAATAATGCGTTATCTGAATCTTGTCTCTCCTAATGTTAAAATCAGTTCAATAGTAATCCAAAAATTGTGCTACACATACATGTTCTTTGATTGTAATTTTGGCAATTGCTTATTAAAACAGTTTCAAGATACCTGATTTTTTTTCCCTTTTTAATCATTAATAAATAAAAAAGTTCAGGAGCAGGAAGGTGGTTTGTGCTATCACTGTACCCTGTCTTTCATATATACTTCCACTCATTGTACACATGCATCCAGAAGCTCAAACACACTGTCACACAACAAAGTAAAACAATACATGATATAACAAGTGAAGACTTATCCACAGGTTTATGCCATGTTATTGTTCCTGAGTCCATTTGTGGTTTTCCTAAGAGATCAGATCTCCTTGGAAATGTCAACATGTCAAAAAAATAAAAAATAAAAAACACTAACAGCAAAGACAAACTATGATAAAACTAAATAAATATAGATGACTCAAATTAAAAAAAAAGTAATAAGTTAAAGCACAAAAAGCAAACACTTCTCTACCTGAGTGAAAAGAGTTTTAAATACTTCACAGCTTAACAATGCCTTCCTCTTTTAATTTTCTAAACTGAGTTTCGGGAGGAAGTACAATCACCGAATACCCTCGCCCAGTCTTTGGAATGCTCTTCTTTTGGTGTTGCGCTCAGTGGATTATGAAAGTACATATTCCCTCTTATGCCCCTCATGGACAATATAGGGAGTTTTATTTGGCGACCTCTGTTTTCTTTGTTGATGATATGCTGTATGTTCATCTTTATGTTTTCTCCTCTCACTGTCCCTCTGTCTTCACTGTTGGCCGTTTGTGGAGATGGACAACACTGGCCCTCTCCTGATAGGCCAACGGAGGGCTGTGATGTGATGCAGGTACCACTGGTTGGACCATGGGCATTGTTGGTGCGTTAATAGCTGCTGTCAGGGCTTTCAGCAGTATGGTTGCCTCCTTCTGATCCTCCTTCCCTTCACCCTCCAAGGTACGAGCCAACCAACGCTCAACAGCTTCCCCCACCTGTGGTGCAGATGCCGTTTCTGTGAGCGTGTCGGCCTCCTGGCTTGCGTCAAACCGCTCCACCATCTCTTTCATGTGCACGTTGACAGGAGCGTTGGAGTTAGCCAGGCAGCAGGTGCGCTGGTGGATGCGGAGGGAGAAGCGGTGGAAGAAGGCCTGGGCGCAGAGCTGGCAGCGGTAGGGGCGGTCGCGGCTGCTGTGGAGGCGGCGGTGCAGTTTGAGGTGGATGTATTGGGTGAATTTGGTGCTGCACAGCTTGCACTGATAAGGTTTTTCTCCAGAGTGGAGTCGCAGGTGTGTTTTCAAATTGCTGGTGCTACTGAAGCGTTTGTGACACACCTAGAAAAACATGAAATGAGAGGTTAGGAATGGATTGTGTTTAAGGTTATTGTGGAAAAATTTAGCAGGGTAGTATGATAACATCTTGGTGTTATTATTAGTATAGTATCAGGGTTGACCATGTTATTCCTGTTCCATGTGTCACTTTCATAAACAAGATGGAGTACTTTTCTTTCTTTGTAAGACCAGTTCTATCCAACAAAACTCAAAACACACACACCCATATAGTCACATTGGTGAACAAAAGATACAATACAGATGCTATTACATGACAAGGTGGGTAGTGGCTTAATGAGGATCACGCTGAGTTACCAGAAAGCTATGTGAGTCAGAGTGCATTTACCCGAATTTTATATTGTGTTGTGTTTTTTGTGTTTTTCTCACTCTTGATTGTACATCAGTGTCACAGTAAGATCAGTAAGACGCTTGTAAAGCTTGTAAAACACAGACATGGGTCATGATTTTCAACATACCTGGCATTCATGCGGTTTCTCCCCCGTGTGGACCAGGTGATGTTTCTGGAGGTGGGCCAGCTGAGTGAAGCTCTTTTTACACAAGTTACACTGGAACGGTCTCTCACCACTGTGCACTCGGAGATGGACCTACAGTCACACAGGTCATACAAAGAATTGTAATGAGCATTGGTGTTGAATGGCAAATGATGGGTCTATAAATCAGAATACATTCAAATAAATCTGAATCAAAACAGAAGAATTGAATGTTACCTTGAGATTTGACAGTTGTCCGAAGGTCTTTGAGCAGATATTGCATTCGTACTTGATCTTTCCATTCTGCTTCTTCAGTGGGTAGGGCAGGGATTTGTGGCCAGGGCCGTTGCGAGGCGCTGTGCTGCTTTTGGTTGTAGTCAGGCTCAGGTTCATGGCCTCCTCGCAGCCAGAGGAAGACTGCTCAGGGGACTGATGTTGGCTGGTGGTCTTGGGGAGAGGGGAGAGCTCTGGAGTGGCTGGGGCGCCTCGTGGTGGTGATACATTTGGCGTTAGTTCTTTCAGACCTCCCTGTGGAGACGGAGGGTAGGGGAGGGACACTGGAAGTAGATTAGGTGAGCCGATAGGTGGGTATGGGAGTCCGTCTGTGCCCAGATAGCTGCTGTATCGGAGGGATCCTCTTGAGGGCAGCATCCCAGGAAAGGGAGGGGAGTACGAGGGGAGGAGGAAGCGAGGATAGTGCGGGCCGTAGGGGGGAAGAAGCTGGTAGGGGGGCTGGAGGGGTCTGGACTGGGGGTAAAGAGGGTAAGATGACACTAGCCCTTCCCTGTGCCCGTAGAGGCCGTGGAGATGAAGGGGGAGATTTCTGTGTGAGAGTGCCGGATGGTGATCTGGTAAATATGGGTGATTTAAGCCCAGGCTGGGTTCTCTGTGTTCAGGCTGAGGGGAAGGAATGATCCCCAGGTCCTCTGGATCCCTTTCGCCCCTCTCCTCCTTCTCAACCTTTTTGCTGAAGTCCATGATCTGCTCGTCAGGGGTGTCGGGCGGAGTGTCCCTCTCCAACATCTCCACATCAATCTTCTCCTCTCCTTCGTCATCCCTCTCTTCTTTCATGTCTTCCCTCATTCTCTCTTTGAGCCATGTCTGCTGAGGTAGGTGCTTAGTGTACTCTGGCTCGTGGTCTTCATCAGCACTCATGTATTCTGTGAAGGAGAAAATGAAAATGTATTGAGTATCATCACCGATTTTGATAATGGCATTAAACAGGAGTTTGAGGAGACATCCGCCCACAGAGGAAGACAGTCCCTCTTATGGTAAATGATAGTAGTTTCAGTTTTGACTTGACATCTTGACAATCATACAGTGTAGGTTTCTATTTGTCAATCATAGTAGTGATTTTGGTGTGGGAGAATGGGTTGGTGGTAAAGTGTGTGGGTGTCCATGTGTCATGTCAAGTATGAGCACTTGTACAGCAAGACTCTGAGTTTCGTTGGTTGAAACCTTTTCTGAGTATAGCTGTTTTACCGTATTGGTCACCAAAAAAAAAAGTGACATCTCTTCCCTTTTTCGTTCTCTTTCTCTTTGTGAGAAAGCCTTTGCTCGACTGACTGGTCAAATTTGTCTCTAAGCACTGTATGTGTAGGTGTGCCTGCAAGTGTTCATTGTGTGAGTTACATATAAGGTCATTTAAAAGGCCACACCACTATTTTTGCATGTTTCAGTCTATTTGCTGCAAATAGATTGTAGTTACTTTTTATTTATCATGGACCATTTTCCAAAGCATACCGTGGTGTTTTACATGTCTATATGTAATCCTAAAGATACCAACTCTTTTCCTTCGCCATTCAGTTAAATAAGAAAATCAGCTTGTGAGACCTGAACTGGATAGATCACCTAATTTTTTATTCTTTGTCAAAGTTACATCCCGGTTAGATTAATGTATTTGAAAGCACAAACTGATTCAAAATGTCCCCTGGGTTTGTGTGTTAAAGCTCTGTCACAAAGGCTTGATAACCAACACCTAGACTGCATTCACAATATATCAGAAAAATCAAGCCTGAGGACAAACAATCAGCATACCTGGACTTAAAGGTAGCTGAATGCTTTTAAGATCCGTAAAGGTGATAAAACAATGTAATGATCCCGCCTTAGCATTAGTCACCAAGATGAATGATCTGATCTGATGATGCATCTGGTGTATCCAGTTAGTATGAATCATCAGACTTTGTAGCAGCAGACAATCATTCGGGATGATGAGGGTATGACTTATAGCTGAAGACAAATGACTCACATAGGTACTTTGACCACCCATCAGTCCCTTCAGGCTTCTCCACTCTCCTTCAAACCCCACGTTATTTACCACATCTCGAGTGATACTGAGATTTGTTTGGTCTATGTGTGGTGTTTGCATTCCACATTATCTTACATAAATATTTGGCTCTCTCGGGTGAGCCAGGCAGGAAGAAACAGCATCAAACCAACTATGTTTACTGTTGGTTAAAGATACCATCAGGTCTTCTTTACGACATAATGTGTCTTTATACACTCTTGAAATGAAAGAATTTCGCTGATAAAATCTCCTGAAGCATGTGTTTAGTCATGGCACAGATCTAAATCTGTCATTTTATCAGCTCGAGCAAGTAAGAACTGACAGAGATTTTTTTGTGTGTCATTGTGCTGCCTCCACATCAAAACAGCTAACAATCAGCTGTCTTTCACTCCTTCCCGCCAACTCATTATTCAGCAAGACAAATGCAAGGTCACAGGGGAATCAAGTTCACCAAACATGTTGTTGTTTTGGGTGTACGTGGGCTGCAAATCTGTTTATAGGTACAAAACAGCAAAGGCACTGTACTGTACGTCCAACAACCATCACATTATAAACAACCAAACATAAGCTCCGTCCCTTTCCTGTGCCTCAAGATATTTGTTAATCTTGTCTACAACGACCATTACATCTCCATCCACAATTATAAAAAAGCTTCCCCTCCTGCTGCACTCACTCTGTTTGATGTCGTCCTGTTGGCTGCAGAGCCTCTGGGCGAACTCCCGGCTGTACCAGACCAGCAGCTCCTGCTTGGGCTCCACCGGCCGGATGGTGTAGAAGTAGATGTCTCGGCCGTTCTGGCACGCCACAAGGTTCTGTTCGGGCAGTGAGCGGGCTGGGTTGACGTAACGCATCCAGTTGCTCCTGTGGACGTCATAGCCATCAAGGAAGTTTTGAAGCTGGCCACCGCTGTAAATCTGCAGAAGAAGAAAAGAGGGAAAATTGTTCAAATATGTTCACATATGAGATACTTAAAGAAGACACACTTGTTGTAAAGCAGCTGATTTGTGTGCAATATAACAAGTATCAGTTGTTTAACCTTTATACTGTTTGACCATCCACTGCAGTGGCCACCATTAATGACAGCATTTGATCCTATTACCACCACAATTTGAGATAACTAAAATGAAATGCTGATTAAAATCCCCCCAAAAAATATTTAAAACGATATATAAAAAATAAATTAAATATATCAAGAGTAGAAAGAAAAAAGTCAAAATAATCACCTCTGCCATGTACACCTAAATACAATGTATCCTCCTCAGAAACAGTGTTTTGCTCCTTTGGTCTGTGCCCTACAGCTGTGCTCTTTGCGTCCTGAGAGTTTAACTCTTGTGTGTGTTTGTGTGTGAGCGTCACCGTATTTGAGGCATGGAGGCGTGGCCTGTCTACTGCCTCTTTCACTCTCCCTCTTTTCCTCTTATTTTTTCTCTTGCTCTCTCCTCCTCATATCTTAATAATATTATTATAACTGTCTTGTATTTTAGTTCATGACTGACATGCCTGTGATAAACATACTTACAATCACTTCTTTGATCGAGAACAGGAATGTATGCTTTGGCTTATGAAACCAAACAAAACTAAAGAGAAATGTGATAGTTGGCAGCGTGACAAGACAGGTGCTGGCAGGCTGCCAAATGCGCACACACGCAGGCATGCCTCCGGCAGCACGTCCGCTCTGTGTTCACCTGTGTCATGTGGTTGATAAGATAATCACGCCAAGTGAACGTCAGACTTTCACTATTGCAGAAACACCCATTTGCACAGGTTTACAGGAAATAAAGCCGGAAGGAAAATACGTAGGGTGGTAGCAAAAAGTCCTTTTGGGAATTGACTCAGCAGAAAAGAAAAAAATCCTGAATGACATAAACAAAGTGTGGATGTGTGAGAAAAGAAACAGCGGACTGGAAAACTACATGGGGGCGGAAATACAAGGATTGTCTGAGTGTGTGTGTGTGTGTGTGTGTGTGTGTGTGTGTGTGTGTGTGTGTGTGTGTGTGTTCATTGAACAATAGTCCCTTCCTTTGTGTATGTGACACTTGTTGCATAGGACTTGAGTGCCGGTAAGACTCTGATGACTGTGTGAGAGTGAATCCACACATGCTAACTTCCTCTAAAATTTTGACCAAAACCCCTGTGCGCCTGTTCAGTGTATGTGAAAGCGTTTTTGTTTCCTTATTGACGTATGGACCTGGACTCGAGTGAAACTTCTGTATCCAAGCAACCAATGTCTTTTTTTTTCATGAATAATAGCTCCTAGACTATTCCCAGTGTCATTTTCTCACATCTACATTTAAGACTTTCCCCAGTTTAACCAGTCTCATGCTGAGCTGAGTTGTAGTTTTGATGCCCAAATGTGAATATATAGAGAGTTTGTGCATATGTATTGTGTATCTATGTAGATATGTGCATGTGTATATTTGTTTCTCTTACCCTCCAGAAGTATTTTCTGTTGGCCTGTTTGGGTACGTTGTCTTTGGTGTAGATGTCTCCTTGCAGGGGACCAAACCGAGTCCCCTTAGGAATGTACTCTTTGCTGAACACACCTGTCACCTGGAAAACAGGACAAACACAGTATATCATTAGGTTTAGAGTCTATTCCCCATCTTTCTCCTCTTTTATGTGGAATAACTTAACACTCAGCCTTCATAGAAGACATAAAAAGTCATCCCTCAAGCCACAAGAACACACACATTGATCTTTCAAGTTCTCATATAGGAATTATCCATATGCTAGTTCTGTCATTTTAAATCTACACATACAACATAGTGCAGCACTTGTTGTTCGTCCATTGTTTATATCGGGCAGGTTGTTGGCCTGAGTTGGAGTCGCGGTGGCTTTGTCATGTTGACCCAGACAGCTCTACAGTCACGTTGAAGCTCACAAGGTGACCCACTTTCTACACTTAACGAGTTAAACGAATGAAGAGAATTACACTTTCTCTGACTTACTCCACTGACCTGCTGTCCTCATAACAACCACAGACACACACAAATGCTCACACACACATGCACACACAGAGAGAGACAGGAAGCAATGTCACCTGTTGTTTGTCTTGTGATCCTCACGAATGCTGCACTCTGCAGCTTTCATTTAGTGTTGTTAATCATTAAGTGAAAATTAACACTACATGTTTGAATCAAAAGCCACAAAGACGGAATCTTGCTCGAAATCTGTTTACTGTTCGGAAAAGTTTATTTCCTTTCATACAAAGCCTTTTCAAAGATCTGATTCAGATCTGTCTGTAGATGTGGAAATGAGTAAGACCAACGATTGGATTCTCTGGAAAACGTGTATCAAATCTTGTCCAAACACATTTTAAATTGCAAAAGGAAACGTGTGGGGGACCTTTTTTTCTCCCATGAGAATATGTTGCCCAGGGATAAACAGTAATGTATGTGGTAATCTGTGTGGTATGTGGCGTGCTCTGTTATTTTCTACAGGTTGTTGCTTCATTTTTGACCTTTAGAAGTAGTTTTATTTTTAGTGAGCTGGATGAGAAAACAGCATTGGTAAGAATACATGAATGTCCTCCTTTAGTGTGGCTTTATGATTCACACTTGACAGAGTGCAAAAGCTTGGGGTCAACCCTCCTCAAAACACACCCAAGCGCGCACACACACACTCACACACTCACACACACACACACACACACACACACACACACACACACACACACACACACACACACACACACACTATCAGGCAGCAGCATCTGCGGCACATACACAGCCTCGCTTTCTTGAGGAGCTTTGTGTTCAATCCTTGAATAACCCCCTCCACCCAAGCCTTAAAGAGACAAAAACAAGGTGACAAACACCTGAACAACTTGTGATGATTTATAACAGTATGAAGGGTGGAGTCACCTTTTGAAAATGTTGTATAAGCAGTTAATTAGAAGAACAACAGGTCAGTGAGGGCAGCAGGGGTGTGTGTGTGTGTGCGTGTGTGAGAGTGTGCGTGTGTGTAGTGCAGCCGCTGAGGCCAGCGAGGTGATTCCTGGATGTGATGAACCAGTGTGACAGGGACATTGTGCGTCGTTGGCGTTGCGTGACTAACGAATCGCTGTGGCTGCTGGCCCGCTGCTGCTACTTAACCGCTCAGTCCAACCAGGTTGGAGGAGGAATGGGGGGGAGGAGGGGAGGGAAGGGTGTTGAGGAACGGAAGAAAATTAGGGGGTGGGCGTTCTTAAGTGTGCACCCACGCTATCACACTCCTGTACGCCCTCCTTTTCTCCCCCCCCCCCCCATCCCCACCATGTCCCTCGTCTTTTCTGGGTTCTCTCGAAATAGCTTGTGTGTCCGCCAGGTTGAAGCCTGATGCCTGGCTGGCTGCCTGGCTGGCTGCCTGTCCCTGATGAAAGTTAATCATCTGGTTTTAACCTAAATCCCCCCCCCCCCCACCACCACCACCAACACACACACCCTCTTCCCCCCAGCTTCTCCCTCCTCCCTCCGCTGCCTCTTTCTCTCCCCCCTCTTTGGCACCCGTTGCTAACGCCCCATCTGCCACGTGCCCCCTCCACCCTTTTTTTCGCCTTCCCCGGCACGCTTCGAGATAAAAATGACAAATTGGGAATCTTAGCCAAACAGGTGCTGAACAAGTACAGCCAATATGTTGATCTGCATGATGATATGCAACCCATGTGTAAATCTAAGTGAGCTGATTCCATTCGTCATTCAGGCTCTTTAGATCGGACTGTATCTGCCATACACTCGCCTGCGTGAAAAATCCCTTTCCTCTGTGAGCCTTCCTGTCAATTGTGTGAACTGTGCTTTTCATTTACAGCCACTTATGCATCCCACAAAACCACACCAAGGAGCAGCTGTGTTTCACGATCATCAATGAATTTCCCAGCTTTGGCGACAGTGAGTCAGGGAGAGAGATTCACATGACACCATGTTTAGGAAGGGAAACCACTTGATGGACAGGAGTTTAAGCATAGTCGATTACTGGCAACTATGTGAGTGCCTGCTTGTTTTCATGTTTCATTTCTTACCTCATATCTTTTTGTCTCGCTTATCAGATATGTATGCCCCCATGCAGACGCACTTAATTGTGTGTGTTGTTGGGGATATGATATATCATCACATTTAAATATAGTTTTTATTGGTCAAGGAGGCACTGCTGTATGCGAGCACAAGCAAACTGCAAAATCAAGTTGGCTGCCTCAAGTGTGAGCTTGTGAAGTATTTGTAAGACGTGTCGGCCGGTAAACAAGAGCTGAGGATTTGAAATTAGTCCTCAATGAGATTTTATCACCATGGTTTGCATGCTTTTAATGCTGCAGAGGCATGAGGGAGCGATGAGAATGAGAGCGACAGAAGAGGAACGATGGTAGAGAGTGCAGGGGAGAAAGAGGAAGGGGACAGCAAAGTCAACCACAAACATCAGTGCTGAATGTCGAGAGCGGCTACAAAAGACGTGAGTGTGACATCGCTTTCTCTCTTCCTTTTAAGGGAATAATTTTCTCTTAAGCAGTACAGTACATATTTCTCCTTAAAACCTTGCTTTAAGACATGATTGCAGCGCTTTGCAGACGATGATATGTCCAGGCAGATCCCTGATTTCACTGCACTGGGAACAGCTGACTGACCAAAAAAATAGTAAAAGGATATTGCGTATGCTGTTCCTGAGAGGGCACAGGAGGTAAAGAGCACAGGCACGGTTGTAAAGAAGGAGGAAAGTCTTGATGCAATTAGACTACCTGCTGGAGGCCAAGCTGATCCCTGATATCTTACTCTGCGTGTGTGTGTGTTTATGTCCTGACTAAGACAGTACCTGCATGCATTGTTTTATGTGTGAGAAAGAAATGTAAAGAAGCTGCACAATCCCTCAAACATTCGGGTGACATCATGGAAGTTAAGGTGGCCAGAAGACATAAAAGGGCCCTGACCTCAAGCTGCCAGTGACCTCATGTCCACTGGCCCACATTCACACACACGCACACACACACACACACACACACACACACACACACACACACACACACACACACACACACACACACACACACACACACACATGCACACCCTGTGCATTCTACTGCATTTGTGAAGAACTCGTTAGTCAGCAGATCTTTTGTTCCAAGTAACCCAATGCAGATGGCATCCCAACAGAATGTTATGTAACAGAGAATTATTATTTTGAAGTATAAGGCTTAATCTCAGAAAACTGACTCTCCCAAAACACAATCAGGTCCAGCAACTAATTTAAAGTAGAGTTAATGTTAGAGTTTATGGTTTAAATGATGTGCTGCGCTTATGATCTGCAAGTTTCAAGAGTAAGACATTAAAATATCTCAATGTACAAACAATTTGAAGCAAATGAATTACTCTTACCTCGTTGTCTGTGCCGTATTCGAAGGTGAGATTGCGTGGGATGGAGGTCATGGCTTTGGGCAAGCTGAAACTGGGGTCCGACACCTGGTCTGGTACAATGTAGGTGCAGTTGAGGGCGAAGTCCACCTCCCTCCACCCGCTCATGTCTCCTGGTGTGCTATCCAGCTTCATCTTGACAATATAAAATATACTGTAGGTGATGGACTCAGACTTTAAGACCTCTCGTCTTGGTTTTGTTCTGTTTGGTTTTGGTTTTGGTTGCTTTGGTATAAAAGTACTTTGGTTTGGTTGGGATAGGTCCCTTGTCTTAGGTATGTTGGTTGAAGCTCAAGATCTGAAAAAGGAAGGTCGGAGAAGAGAGAATGGGATTTTAGTTTATCTATATATTGTATTATTATTGAAGTAAATACTTTTTTTGAGAGAATGAAAACAGCAAGAAAGTTTTTTTTGTAAAGTCTATTTGCCTTTTTTAAAGTGGCAGTAGATTTACCACTTTAACCAGTGCAAACTGACAATATGACATGCAAGTTATATAATAGTTTGCCCTAATGTTCAACACAAGCAATATTTGTATCCAAAATCAACTACATCTCTGATTGTGTGACTTCACTAGGCTCACTTTCAATTTCTTAACACCTCCTGGCAGTCATTCATTATTCAAGCAGCCACCTCCATTCATTAAGAACCAAAGTTCATTGACACTGCTCCTGGCAAACATCCCTGTGTTGGCCATTCAGTTTAACCAGCCATTTCTTGAAAGGCCAATAGGTCAGCCAGTCCTTTTCTGCTCATTCTGTATCATTTATCCATATTTTGAACTACCCAAGGTTATTCTTGCAAGCAAAGAAGAAATAATATATTTACTTACTTTCACACATTCATTCAGCTGTAGGATCCTCATGTCTTTGGCTATGTCATCCCTTAGTTGTTTCTTTTCCCTTTATACTCTCTCCTCTATTTCCAGGGTTTCTTCAGGGATTCCTCTCAGTTAGATCCTTTGGGTATCCGCTCTTGCTGTGTCCACTCTGTCACCGTCACCAGAAACTCATGAAGTGGATTGCGCCAAGCTTTTTTAGCTTAACACTCCGGCCAATCACAAGCCGCTGAGGTCATGTGACTGAGCCATCTGACACACAACTGTTGGTTTTGGACAACAACATCAGTGACGTTGTACACTTGGCCAGCAAGTGCTGTTGTGATGAATGCTTACACATATACATACACACATCAGGGCACACACAAAGAAGACATGTTAATGAATGAATAAAGGAGGAGCAGATGGCTGGCCTGTTGCCACTGAAAAACACACTCATAGACTTTTGCTTGGTTTGGCACTTAATGAGCAATCTGCTGCCACTGTATCTCCTTGACCTACATCTCACTGTAGAACGTCTTTAACTAAGACCCCTAAGACCCAGCTCATACACACAAACACACACACACACACACACCACCAAATAAACCCTGGTCTCATTCAAATAAACACGAGCACAATTTTTATACTATGTTTTGAATTTTAAAAAATCTTGAGAATGTTTCACATGTATCTGATCTGCTCACATAACACATAAAGTATAAAAAATAATGTTTTTTTTTCCTCTCTTTTAAACACACTGATACATGCCTTGTGCAGATGTAGGGCAGGTCATCCCAGCACGCAGCAAAGAGACTTAGACACCTGTCTGGTGAGCGTCCGCCTTTACTTTCAGACATTACCACACACAGCAGACCAAACATGGAGCTCTGGGTCACCTCACCTGGCGGTATGCATAAAGAAAGGCAGGAAAGGAGAGAACAGATAAAACAACATATGGAGGGTAAAAAGGAGAATGTGACTTTTCAGTTTGACCACTGTAAAAAAAAAATAAAATGTATGTTTTCATTTGTAAAATGTATATAATATATGAATTTATCAGATTCATCACATGCAAAATAACTTATTTTTTTCCTAACATAAAAAATGAATTAAAAGTTTTTTTGATACCTTACATTGCGCAACTCAGCATATTGTATTGGATGGTCATTTTATCAATGGTGACGTTTAACAATGACTAATGACTTTACTTAGTTTTTATTACTGTAATTTACAGTATGCATCTTTACCTAGATTTACCAAATGTTACATAACCTGCAGCTGAATGTCACAAACAGCAAACTTACAAGAGCGACGCTGCACTCAGTTCCTAAATTCCTTGTTCCTAAAAAGTGTTCTTGATTTTGAGAAAAAATTGAGAACTTATTATACAATGATGAACAGTAGTAGTTCACATGATATATGTTATATACAGATATACATATTGCAAATATAGCTATATTTTTGTCTATCATTCACCCCCCTGCCCCCCCACCTTTTCTTTCTTGACTTGGCTGGAGAAATAGTAAATTGGTTGCCATATGGCAAGACTGCTATTCCAAGTGGAGCTTTACTGCCCAGTGCGGCGTGGGGGTTAAAACTGGTGGTAGAAGGAGTGTGTGTGCGTGTGCGTGTGTGTGTGCGTGTGCGTGTGCGTGTGTGTGTGGTGGAAGGGAGAGGGAGGGGAAGTGGGGATTTGGGCTCTTTCACTGGCCCGCACCCGGCTGGGCTAATTTCTCTAATTTGCAGACAGTCTGGACTCAGGCTCAGGGCTCAGAGGCTAAAGACCCAGCACTCCAGGATAACAGGCTAGCCGACTCATCTCACCCCTGGACACACATCACATCCGGGACATTAGATGGTCCAGACATGCTCTTTTCAGGGAGGGAAACCTCACTCGCAGAGCAAGGGGAACTGAGCCTTCACACAAGGAGGGAGGGAGGGAGGGCACCAGACAAGACGAAAAGGATAAGTGGAGGAAAGACCTGGGGTCATCTGTATTGAAGCTGTCTGAGACAGAGAAAATCAGACAAAGTGATGTGACCTGAGACTTTATAATACCAGGTTGATGGTACCTGGGTATTTCGTAATAGTCTGGTCTAAATGAACACCTGTTGCTATGCAACATCTAATTCTGCATGGCTCTGGTGTCAGTAACAGTGCAGAGAAAGCCGCCACCTGCTCTACCAAATGTTGATTTTACAAGTGAGCTGCATTACATCCTTTACTGAGTTAAACCTTAAGCTAAAAAAAGACCCTTTCCGTTCACTCATCAGTCATTTCTACGGTGATGACAAATCCACACAGTTGTTTGCGTACAGTGAACATGCATACACAAATAAATCTGATATACAATGTAAAAGAACTGAATCATAAGCAAAGTAAAACAAAGAAGTAAGGGTTAGTTTAGAATGTAGGCGGCTACATCTGTTCCCCTAAGCCACAAGAAAACAAATAGGGCAATTAGGGGTATAAAGTAAATAATCCTATTGTTTACCCATCAATAACCACTGATTCCACCAACTTGCATTACCCCCAAGCCACATTACATATGTACCCCAACCAATGGGCAACAATTGTGTAACTTGTGTTGTACTTTTGTCTGTTTGACAAAAATAACATACATATAATACATCATGTAATAGAATGTAAAGTTATTTGGAAAACTTAAAGGCCCTGTCATTATTCTTTTGACAATATAAACTTCAGGGTTTTGGTTACAGATGAAAACTAAGTAATTTTTACCCCTGTTTTACAAACAATTAATGAATACATCAGATACAGACACTTTGAAAAGACATAAAGGAGTATAGTGTAGAAAGCACCACCTTGTGCAAATGTTTCTATTCTGTGAAATAAACTTGAAGATATGACATATTTCTTGTAAGGACTTTCACACCCACTCACACCCACACCCACACTACATGGTGGCTACTGAATGAATTTACCACAGCACACTCGTAAATCGAATCTTAACCACTGAGAGTTTTGACGGGGAACTGGTACTAAGGAAAAAATATTTTTGCTCTGTTTTGCGTTTTACTTTAAACACTGACAAAACAGCCGGGCATACCCTCACAAAATGACTAAGCATATAGGTTCAGAAGTGCTAAAATCTTAATTTTCCTACATTGAACTGTCACTGTCAGTGACTTATAGTAGTTGAAACAGAACTCAAAACCAAGAAATTTACAAAAGTAGTAGGCAGAAAAGGAGTATTTTTATTTCCATGTTAAAGCCTCCCAAACAATATACACTCTTGGATTTTTTTTTAGGGAATTACAACATAAATTACCTCTACCTTCTCTTGAACAAGCTCCTTGTAAGGAAATGTGTGCCCATGGAAGGTGTGGCATTCAAGTGTAGGCTAATGCAGCAATGGCAGGAATGAGCCAGAGCTGTCCCCATTTTACAGTGAAAGCAGTATGCTTTTACAGGAATCTGAAGGCATTTAAAACTTGTGCAATATGGGAATGTCGTAGTGACTGTTACCTGTCCAATGCCTATACATTTGATCTATGGCTGGTAGAGTGTTAGAAAGGCAAGCTCAGTTTCAGAATGGATTGGCTAATCCAGTTTTCCTTCTATGAGTCATCAGAAGAGTCCGTCTGGGGACTTCTACTTGCTGGTGGGGTTGTTTACTTTTATTCTTGAGCACCTGACAGTTAAAGCATGACTAATGTCAATTACAGCTACAGCTGCCGTTATTGTCCAACTGTTAACCAGGAGTGTTCAGCCATACTAGTGACTCTATCAGGCTGTACTGAGACACAACGGTGCCATGAGGTAAATGCTAATATCAGTATGCTAACCAAGAGTGTACAGCCATGCTAGTGGCACTATGAGGCTGTACTTAGACACAACAGTGCTGCGAGGTAAATGCTAACATCAGTATGCAGACATGCACACAGTGACAATGCTAACATGCTGATGTTTAGCTGGTATATATAATATATTTACAATGTTCACAGATTAGTTTACCCTGTTAGCATGTTAATGTTAGCGTATTAGCTCTAAACACAAAGTACAGCTGACGAGATTGTCATACGTTTTGCTGATAAAGTATTAGATATTACATATCATACATTATATATATATATAGGCTATATATATATATATATATATATATATCATATATTGTAGAAGAGNGCAATATGGGAATGTCGTAGTGACTGTTACCTGTCCAATGCCTATACATTTGATCTATGGCTGGTAGAGTGTTAGAAAGGCAAGCTCAGTTTCAGAATGGATTGGCTAATCCAGTTTTCCTTCTATGAGTCATCAGAAGAGTCCGTCTGGGGACTTCTACTTGCTGGTGGGGTTGTTTACTTTTATTCTTGAGCACCTGACAGTTAAAGCATGACTAATGTCAATTACAGCTACAGCTGCCGTTATTGTCCAACTGTTAACCAGGAGTGTTCAGCCATACTAGTGACTCTATCAGGCTGTACTGAGACACAACGGTGCCATGAGGTAAATGCTAATATCAGTATGCTAACCAAGAGTGTACAGCCATGCTAGTGGCACTATGAGGCTGTACTTAGACACAACAGTGCTGCGAGGTAAATGCTAACATCAGTATGCAGACATGCACACAGTGACAATGCTAACATGCTGATGTTTAGCTGGTATATATAATATATTTACAATGTTCACAGATTAGTTTACCCTGTTAGCATGTTAATGTTAGCGTATTAGCTCTAAACACAAAGTACAGCTGACGAGATTGTCATACGTTTTGCTGATAAAGTATTAGATATTATATATCATACATTATATATATATATAGGCTATATATATATATATATATATATCATATATTGTAGAAGAGATCACCAAAGGTATGAGGGGAACATGTGTTTACCAGATTTAATTGTGATCCAATAGCTGTCCTAACATTTCACTCAAAACCACAAATGACTTCATGGTGGCACTAGAGGGACCACCAAGGTCAGTAGAATTCATCCACTGGGGGCTGTGAATGTCTCAACAACATGTCATGGCAATCCATGTACAAATTACAGAGTTATTTAAGCACTAGCATGGCTAAAACAGGAAATGCTGCTAAAATAATGCATCTTGTACGCATAAAAAATAAATTGTAACATTTCACATATAAACAAGTCAGTTTG